AGCTGCAAAGAATAGGCATTGTCTACCTCAGGAATAGGCTTTGGATTGTAAGAATGTTCTAGGAAGTATCTCTCAGTTGGTACAATGGCTTGTCCAAGAAAGGAGTCAGAACCCCAGGTGGAAAAATGGTATACATGTGTGAATCCCCTCTTTAAGTCTGCTTGTCTTAATTCAGAAGGACCTGCAGGTACAGTAAAGAGATGCTGAAAGGCCTGAGATAATCCTTGAGGACCAAACAACAATCATACCTTTTTTCAGCATTTTTTGAGAGAAACATAAATATAATGGTTTCTCTAAATGACAAAATAAAATTAAGGTTGCTCATGCCTCATTCTAGGAGTCTTCTCTCTATAAGGACTTGAAATTTTATAAACTGTCTTATAACTATAGTATTTATTGTGACTATCTTTAAACTTGCTTTTTTTTCCCCGGTACTGGGGATCGAACTCAGGACCTTGTGCTTGCAAGGCAGGTGGCACTGACCTAAATCCCCTGCCCTATCTTTTGACCATCTTTAGACACCAGCTCAGGCTAACGTTTCTAAAAGCTGCTACTTCTGTGTGGACCCCATAATGCTCCACACCACCCATATCTCCTGATCATCCATCTCCTACTTCAATTCCCCTCAATTCATGGAGAAATTCGACTTTACCTTCCATTTGCCTTTTGTGCGTACTACAATTTTCCTAGTGAGTAATTTGGTGGTCTTTATTAAAAATACTTCAAATCATTAACAAATATTCTTAGATACAATATCCAGAATGTATCAAAGGCAAAAAAAAAAGATTTATGTCTCTGGATATTCCTATTAGCAGTCTTTATTTTCATGACAAATTGGTAACAACTAATAAATCCATCTTTAAGTGACTGAATAAGTAAAACTGTAATTCTTCCACATGACAGAGTGAGATGCAAGCAGTGACAGCCATTTGGTAAATAATTTTATGCCATGAAAAATGTTTCTGTCATGTGTTGTAGGTGAGCAGTTGAAGTTGGAAAGCCAAATGTACTCTATAATCCCAACTTCACTTTGTAAGAAGTTAAAGTATTGACCCACTAATATGAATACTTACATGTAGAAAAAAGCCTTGCAGGTTTATTCTGTAGAGTAAGTTTCTGTTTTGTAACATTATATGTATTTTTCTACTTTTTCTTTCAATTTTCCTAATTCAATTTTCAGCAACGAACACTGTTTATTCTTTGGTACGAAAAATTAAGTGATATTAAATATCATGTCTGTCCTAGATGAACCTTCTAAGTATGTACAAGGTACCAAATTCATTTACTAAAACATTTACACCATTCATAGATTTCTGTAAAGCACATTTTTTTAAACGATTTTATTGTCTTATATTCTCCTTTAAAAGCTCTGGTGTGAATTCATACTGTAGAGGAAAGAAGTGACTTCATAGTTTCACAGTTTAAATAGTATCTATGTGCTAACAATTCTAATATACACCTCCAATCTGTGATCTCCACTGAATTTTGGGTGCTCCTCTTGGATGTCTAGGATACACTGTAGATTTAAGGGAACCACACCTGTACACCTACTCTTCTTCCAGAATTCCTCTGTTCACTTAATGACCATATCATCCTTCCACACCTAGTTGGAACTAACCTCATACAAGGAACTTCATAAGTATATGTTGAATAATTTTAATAAACTAGTTATTACAACACATTCAAAGTGGCATTTTCAAGGTAAAATCTCCACCCATGTGTTTAGTGATTAATTGTGGAAGTTATGGGGTGGAAAATGAGGTCAGATCAATACCAAGCCAAAAAGACAGGTGTTTGGAGGCTAACATATAGAGGCAAATTTTCTTCTAGAAAATAAATATGACTAGCTTATTTCCACATACATATCTATGGACAAAAAAACAAGAGAAGCATTTCTCTCTATTATTAAATGTGCTTTTTGTAGAACACAGTTAAGAAATGCACTAAATGTCGTTACAATAAAAAAGTTGTATCCAAACACTAAGTGATTATCTAAATCTGTGGATTCCCCTTTGAAATATGTTCTAGGATCTCCATCCTCTCTTGACCTATACTGTTCTCTAATTGATAAATTCTCACTATCAGCAGACCACTTTCTGTACCGTCTGCATAACCGACACTGTGGGGATTGTTTCTTGGCCCTTGATATCACACGGCACAACAGCAGCCCTAGCAAGGGCTCACACACATAACCAGCACTCAGAAGTTGGGCAAAATCAAAAACTTCTCTTTCTCTATAGGAGAGTCAGTTTATTTGAAAGAGCATGTTCTGAGGCATAGAAGGTTAATATTTTAGTGACACATGTTCAAAATATGACTTCCTGCCATCCTCTACAAAACCTAATTTTCAATCCTACCCTCCTAGTAGACTTTAAAAAGATAGACCTCAAAGGGGTATTGTATTTGATATTCTCTTGTAGCCCCAGAATAAAACTTAACTATGAATAATTGGAGATCTGCACACTCTTATAAAGATGAAAGAATGGGACTCAATCCCACACAGAAGCTAAAAGAAAAGTCAGTTTATGTCCTTCTGCCACCTTGGAAAGACTATGGCTTTGAAACTATGAACAAGAAAGGAGGAAAGTAAGGCTGACTGAGCAACCTACATATACCTTTGTGAATAAATTCTTATGTTCCTGCAGGCTTTCCTATATCTAAACTCCATTACAATTATCTACAAGTTTCCAATATGCTTTCATTCCATATATCCCATAAAAACAGTTGGAATTCTTGCCAAATTGATATATATGTTTATGTATTCATAAACTATACATACTTTGTCACACTAATATATTACATGTTCTATATACCTTCCTACAACCAAAAGTATTTAGAGAACGAGATACAATAAATACACACTGAAGTTTTACCTTTTCCCTCTGCAATCAGCAGATTATATTGTTCACTCCCTGGGAAATGCTTAACTCACTTTAGAAGGCACTAAGATTTTGCTGTATTGCAGCAAAAGGAGCTGACCAGTATTATACCTGTGTATAATACTTTATCATATGTGTATTATACTGTTATCATCAACTGCATACTATAGTTTCAAATAACCTACATCTACACATCATGTCATAGTGGATGTTGTCATGAGGAGCCATCTCCACTGCAGTAGCAGCATCTGCTGCTGCTGATTCACAGCTGAATCAACATAACCCCACCCTGTGTCCAGTAGCATCATCCAGTGACTGGTTGGTGCAGGGGACTAAGGACACATCTACTCATCTTGAAATGCAACAACCTAGAGGGACCCTTCTAGCCTGAGTTCCCATTTGGTTAAACGGATGCCTCTGTTAAAACTATAGTTCAATTCTCTTCCTTCCTCTGCACAATTCTACTTTTCCCATTACCTGATTGACTGCAAGGGAACTTGACCACAAATACCCATCTTGATTCTTTTTCTGCAGAGCCATAAGATCCATGTTCATTAGCATGCACTAGAAGTCTATTTTGCTTGCATATCTAGTGCCTACTACATTGTCTATTGAGCCACCAGAAACTCAAGAATTGAGGCCATATCTCAAGGTGTCTTAAAGCCTCATGAGATTCTCGTTGAGTCTTGATCAATATCACCTGGAAGGTGACCAGACGAAATCTGGCAGAAAGAATGACTTCTCTTCCTCTGGGTGCCTGAGAGAGATCGGATGATGGATCTAGTGTCACTGCTTCTAGACAACAGACTTTCTCTGCTGTGCCATCTCAGGCCATCTTGTGGCAGCTCCAATGCAGACATGGCCCTTTTCTTCATTGTCATTTCACCTCCTATCCCACTCAAGGCTACTTGGTTCCAAGGAATGCTAGCACATGGCCCACGAGCAATCAAAAGTACCCAAGTTACCCTGGAAGTTCTTCTTTGAGGGAATTAATTTCAACTCCTTAGAGGCTGTAGTCCTAATGCTACTTTTCTCAATGGAACTGACTTTTGTAGCTCTCAACCAAAGTGAGAGTTTTGTTTTCCCAGTGGATGCAACAGAATAAGCACCATAGCCATTATCGTCTCCTGGTAGGGAGAAGCCTATTGTACTGGACACTAGCCCCTATACAGTCCTTACATGTCCTCTCCTTGAAATACAGAGATTCTCCTAAATATAGAGCCCAAAAAACTGGCCCTCCGGTAATGTAGGCTTTGCAGAACAATTATGAGATGCTTACTGGTGACTCTGGAATCCTTTATATACAAAGAAAATTCAGTACTATTTAGGTGTATTTTCTGACATAAAGTGTCAACTATCCATAGAATATTTTGCTTCAAAATGAAACTATATATGCACATAGATTGTTACAAATGTCTAGTAACTAAAAAAATAGTTTTAACCCTAAATAGCAGATGTGGTATTTACAACATGTAATATAATATTTAGTCTCAATTAATAGACTATTTCAACGAAATACTCTTTTGATAGGTACTTTCATCCTTCCTGTGTTATATATTAAAACAGAAGTATATACTCGGTTGATTAACAATATTAAAAGTAAAACAGTATGTGTATTTCACAATCATTAGGTAGATCATGAAATAACATGTGAACGATGATACAGTACAGGACATAAGTACTAAAAATGCAGATTACTCATTTACAACTTATAATTTATTGAGAATACAGAAACTTTCATAGCAAGGTTCACAGTGTGACCTGGAAGATAACCCCTGGAATCTTCTGTGTTCTGACATGTGTTTTCTTTAATGGTAATAATAGTGCAGTTTTTTCAGCGAGGATGACGTGTATCTTGAGACTCTTATTATTGAACTATTCGAGGTTATGGCTTGTTTTTCACAGATACGGACTGTTCTCCTGTTAATATACCATTGCACCACTGACCCTAAATGACAAGCATACAACTAAGTATTTCTGAAATCCTAGATACAAGTTATTCCAATATTCACTTTCAGGTAGAATTACCAGATATAATTAACAAAGATATCAATTATCATAGGAAATAACTACATATTATTTACTATTGAGTATATAAATTAATATAGGCTCAGCACTTACCTGTATTATATGCTTTAGTTTATCAATTATCTGATTTATTACTGGATCAGATCCTTTGACTTTGACTTCAGGATTTCCAGATTGGGCTTTGATTCCATTTCCAACCACACGCTGAGTATAGCTGAAGTAGTGAAAAATGAAAGACACATTACTTAATAAAGTGATCTGGGTAGAATCAGCCACACTGCTTCAGCTGGTGTGGTTTCAGAATTTCCTCCTAGAAGAGGAATACATCAATATACAAAATATTCAAAAATATATCACTGTATTTATTCTTGAAACATAAACTGTTACAGCAAAAATGTTTTTCTTCCAGGTAAAATGATTACAGTGAAAATATATACGATTCAAAAACCAATATTTTTCTCTTCTAGCATCAAGTCAAAACCACTGCATTTCAAGTGCTATTTATCAATATGCAGAGAGTTAATATATATCTGACTTTCTTACCAATTCTTGTTGAATTGCAAATATAACTGCACCCAACATATTGTAATTCATGCAATTTATAGATAAGTCCCAATAATAGTATATATATACATATTTAACTATACAAGTCAAAATTATTAACTTTGTAATCAACTATAACTGCAAAATCTTTTGTAAGTAAAGGAAACATTACTCTAAGATTCATTTGTTTGTAAAAGGGTGATTCCACAGGCAGTGAAAGCTATTTGAAAGTCCACTACCTTCCCCAATGACAATCATCCAATGTCAACTTAGTATTCATAAAAATATTTAAATTCATCAGTCACACATATGATTAAGCTTCCTACTGTATTCAAAGTTCTATACTAGTTGAATAGGATTTTAAGAAATTGTAATTCCTGTTCTCATAATGCTCATTACTTCTCTGGGAATATACTATATCACTTAAATCATTCTTTGGGCATTCATTCATTATATTTTACTATATTTAAAATATCTAATAGATTGCAAGCATATTAACGTCTTTGTTTTCCAGCCAACTCAGTGTACCACAAAGACAAGTGAACAGTTAAAATGCGACACTGTTGAAACAGCCAGGAAGGAACAGTATGTACCAAGCATGAGGAGGTGTTGGACATTCAGAATATGGAGAACTCCATTTGGATTCACACACTTGAGGAAAAGCTAAGGAGAAGTTATATTGTAGGAAGCCATTGAGATAATAACATAAAAATAAGTCTCCCACAGTATAGTTAATGAGAACTCCAGAACAAAAGATAATATCACAGCAGGGAAAAGGGAAAACAACACAGGAACAACACACACAGAGAATAACGAAACCTCCATCTGCAAAGTTGAGAAGATAAACACAGGAATGGAGCCACACGCCGGTTTCTATCCTCTTAGTAATTTGTGTTTATATTCACATAATAATAGCAGCCTCAGAGACTTTTCAGTGAGAATGCTCACATTATTTCAATATGACTTTCCTCTCATTGACCAGTTCTTACCTATTCATGTGCATGTTACAGATTTTCTACAAAAACGGAAAATCTTGGAAAAGCTGAAGTTCTGCTATTACGAATAGAGCCAAATGAAAGACGTTTTATGAAATACCCAGTTCTTCCCAAGATGATGTACTCCACTGACCAATTTTAAAAAGTGAGTCAAATAATTCTTCACTAGGTCCTCCAAATAATATTAAATAATGGAACTCCTTGACACTGATATTATCAAATATATATGAGAAGTATAACAATATTAGTACGTCTTGATTTTAAAATAAACCCTGAACTGACTTACTTGCACAGACAGACAGGCATACGGCCTTGAGAGTTAGTTTTTTCAGTATCCATTTGGGATTTGAAAGAATACACACCAATAAAAAAATAATACAGGGAAAACTGCTACATTTATGTTGGTACAGTGTAGTATTATTCATTTTGGAAGAATCAAGTAAATTTAAATCCTATGTAGTGCTGTTACATTATTCTTCACTGTCTCTTGGAATTTTCCAAGCAGATTTCATATTGTGGCTCCTTTATTAATGTTGTGTATTAATAATGATGACAAATAATATGACTAAATTACAGAAAAATGCATAACTATGATTCAGTCATTTCTTTAGTTACTATATTTGGAATTTATAAATTCATCTTCATGATAATTACCCATTATGACCAACAGTATGTGCCTCATAGCCCTCAAAGTACAGAAACCCTAAGTGGCTAAAGTCACTTGCTGCTTTACTGTAAAATTTATTTCTTCATCTGTCTCCTCTTACCACATGCAATGCCTGCATGTAGCAGGGCTGCTAAAGCATGTCAAATTTTGGGGACACACTTCACCAATGACCAATTTTGGCCCAGGATTCCCTAAAGCCTGTGGTACATCTTCCTTAGAATCCATCAGGCTAGAATGCTTCTACTCAACCTTCCTTTCCTGTCATCTTCCCTATGAGTCAGTATTGCTTCTCAACAAAAGCTCCTCCAGCCTCATCAGCTTTTCCATGTCCTGTCATAGAACTCCCCCTTAATAGCATCCTCCAGTGCTCAACTTCCTTTTACTATGTGTCTCTTGGAGAACCCAGTCTGACATATCTTTTGATATTTGTATTACAACTGTACTCTTTCTACAGATTGAGAATCCAGAATCTGAATAGGCTAAGTAACTTACTAAAGACCACAGCCTTTGTAAAGCATGTATCAGGGATTTAACCCCAGGAATTTTGAGCTCTTGAATACAATCATTTAATAATTATTAGTGAAACCAATGAAAATACATTAGAGACAGAATTAGCTTCGTGTAAAGTTTTTTTTTGTTACTAGGAATGGAAATCGGTGTCATCACACTGAGCTACATCTCCAGCCAGTTTTGTTGTTGTTATTTGTGTTTTTCGGTTTGTTTTTGAGATAAAGTCTCATTAAGTTGAACAGGCTGGGCTCAAACTTGCAATTCACCTGCCTCAGCCTCCCAGAGTGCTGGGATTATATCAGTGCACCAAACACACTTTGTATTTTTACTCTTTTTAAATATTACACTATAGAAGGATAGAATGTTTATAATTGGGAAGGGATATACAATTTCCTTCAAAAGTCTTTTCAATGAAACTTCCATGTTGCAAGCTAAATAGTGAAATAACAGTTGTTAGAACGGTTAGAAGAAACTAACAGAAAGTCATATGGTTTTTTCTAAGATTTTTACAAACATAAACATCACGTGAGCAGTGGAAACTGAGACACATATCTTAATTTCAATTAATCTATGAACTGATTTAGAGTCTGGCTTACTTATAGACCAGACTTTCTGTTAAGTTGCAAGAATGCTATTGCATATTCATTGGAGGAATTCCTCACCTTTTCCTTTTGTTCTTGTTTATCAGAGTTAAATAACTATACTGATTTAGGTAAAATTTATCAAATTATAACTGATGAAGAATTAGACTTCCAGCTACTGTGTTACTGAATATTTCAAAATAACTGTATTATCATTCAAATAAGGAAAAGTACTGGAAAGTAGGAAATTTAAAATACTTCAAGTAGAGGACAATTAATTAAAATCAGGTATTCTTTTCTGTTTTGGTAAAGGTAAGAATGCATTGCAGTAGTGATACAGACAGACCAGAATGGTTTATGTGAAACAGTGGAGATTAAGTGTTGGAAAGAAGCGGGGTCAACTGCAACTTCTTCCCACCATGCATGGGGCTGGAGAAATGATACGAGCCGTTATCTGACAGTATGCCAAATCTGAACACAGTCTGCGATCCTCATAGGAGCCCTAGAATGTTCAGAGAGGCACCATTCACAACCGCTCCAAACTGAACACAACTCAAATGTCCATAAGGATGTGCAAATAAATGGCAGTGTATTCATATAATGAAATATTGTGCAGCAATGAGAAGGAACAAATCACAACTACACTAAGAAATATTGGCAAATCCTGCAAAGTAGATAATAAAAAGAAGCAGAATACATTCAATGATTAACTTATAAAATTTCAAAGAATTTTGAATCTATGCTCTGAATCACCATTGACTTAAAGACTGTGTCTAAAAGGCAAAATATCATACTTCTTAATTTGGGTTTTAGTTAAAAAAAAGAGTGCTCTTTTTGTTAAAAAAAAAGTATTGAATTGATACTTAAGATTTCAGCTTTTTACTGTATTATGTATTTGAACCGAAATAAAATATTTACATTCAAAACTTCTTGTGCATTTTTCCTTAATATATTTACAAACAAATCTTAATTAAACCATACACAATATGGTTTATATATAAATAAAAGACACACATAGGTATTTTTAATGTGAGAAAATTGTCATTACTGAATAAGCAATTTAGTATCAGAATTTGATACGAGAACTTGCTCCCTGCAGACTTTAATATGCAGCCAAAATGTTTTTAACTTAAATTTTCTCTAAAAATACTTTTTACTTGAATCTCTCATTATAAAATTTAATAGATCATTAATTATCTTACTTCTAAATAATATACACATGTAATAGATGAAAATTTCCAGGATCCTTATAGAGGTTTCATGACTTGAAAAACTGTTCATGTTTCAATGATAAGGAGAGAACAAAACACAAAAATAGAAAGAGGTGATTTTTGTTGTTGTTGTTAGGGAAGTAATAGACCCACAATGTGTGTTTATGTCTTCTAAGCAGGGCTGGTAATGAAAGACATCAATTACATAGGAATGCTCCCAAGTACTTATTTTTCCTTGTTTTCATTAATAAGAAAAGAGCAAGCACCAATATATTCATATTCTACAAAATTTTTTGAAGTAATGATTAACAAGATTTCAATTATCTGTGTTTAACAAATAAAATATTAAAAGGAAGTGCTAATAAATCTCCATATAGTATTTCACTGGGCAGTCATCGCCCCTGACTGTACCAGCATGTCCTATTTGACACTGGTACCATGCCCTATTGGCCGATATTAACTTCATTTTCTTTACAATGCAATAAATATTGGTTCAGATTGACACTAAGCGTGGTATTTTGATGTGCACAGTTTCAGGAAGGAGGCATATACCAGGAATCTGACCTTGAGTTTACAAATCAGTTACAGGGTTCTGTCAAAGATTTTTTTTATCATTTCACTGAGACAGGGTGCAAAAACATGATAACTGATACCAGACGAGGAAAACACCTGATCAGGAAGCCTCTACCATTATTGCTATCTACTAG